TAGTGTCCCATTCTTGCTTCTAGCCAACAATGCTTGGTACACTTGTCTTGTGACTTCTTCTGTCATGTCCTTCCTTCTATGGTGTACTTCAACAGGAACCTCAACATCTTGTTCTATTAAAAGAAAAAAGAACATTCTTCTTGTTAGCCACGGATTACATAAAAAATAATCAAAAAAAGGAAAGAACAAACTGAAAAAAATTACCAACGAGGTTTTGTATGTAATCAAAGTCAACCGCACCATATTCATCTAATGGCAAGTTCAAATCAAATCCTGTCCAAAAATAAAACAAAAAAATCAGAAAAGATGGCGCTTGAGGGAAACAACAAACTCAAACAAGAGAGGTGATTACCATTGTCGTTGTTGGACTCCAATATTGGCTCGTTGAGAACGAAGGCAAGATTGTCGTTGTCATCTTCTTCTAAGAGAACGTTCAGATCAAAGGCAGCAACTCTAGGATCAGCCATTGCATGCGGTAGTGAAGAGAAGAGAGGGAAAGTGAGGAGATGAAGCACGGTAATGGAAAGAGAAGAGGCAGGGGGAAAGATTCCGTTAAAATAGGCACGGTGGAACACAAACATCGGAGCTATCGAGCGCAAAAATTAGAATCCCGTGGCGCCACCGCAAAAATCGTTTGCATGTGAAAAACCAACGAAAACATGGCGCCCAACACGCCCAAAACGCGAGCACAAACGCGCTCAAGCGGCTCAGCGCGTGCACCACGCCCAGCAGAATCAAATCCGCGCGCCATGCAGCCACAGCGCACGCGACACGCAGGGCCAAACAGTGCCATGCAAAATCAAGCCAGTAATAAAAAATGGCACCCGCCAGGTATCAAACCCGGGTCCTCAGGGCCAACACCTCGCTGCACTAGCCGTCTGAACTATGGTTGTTTCTCGTATGGAATGCACCCGCAACCGTTTTTTAATAGGGGCAGACAGGGAAAAATACCCCCTAATTAATCACTCATTGGTAAGCACAATCATGTCATAAACGACTTCCTTTACGAGTACGGAGGGAGTATATAATTGCCAAAACAGCAGGATCACATATAATGCGTCACGTCCTTCTTCCCGGAACTCTTACGGAGCATCTTTTGTAGTAGGCCAGCACGCCAACTTCAGGTTGCACTTGTTAATTTGTTATTCGTGGTTGATCCTAAAACCTATAAAATTCTGTTAGCCCCGTTTAGATCCTTAGAATTGAATTTATTTTAATAAACATAATCTAGATATAAATTTATTAAGCTAATACGGTTGTATATGGATTATATTTGTATATTATTGTTAGCTATACGAGAGATATACTTATGTTTTGCATTTCTACCGTTGGGGGAGCGAGTTGAAGAGCTTGTTATAAGTTGCAAAGTAGAAATATATATAGCATGATGATCTATAGAATCTATTTCCATCTCCCACCCTATGAATTTGAGATAGTCTTATATGTGAACTTTAAAAAGTGGTGGAATGTTAAATTCAAAGCCAAATTGCCTAGTTTATTAAGTAGATTTCAATTCCTCTAAATGAAAGGATCAAACGGCCCCTTAGTATCAAGTTCGGTTCCGTGAATTCTAGAATATATAGTTTGCAATTTTAATATTTTTTGTTATACATTACAGAAGTCTTAAACTCATTCGAACATATCAAAATCCACTTTCAACTTCAGAAGACTGAAAATAAATTAATTGGGGCATATAATTTCAAATAAAAGTTACAATTTAAAAATCCTGTACTTTTAAAGTGTTGATTTGCAAATTCTAAATCCTGGGCTTCATAATTTCAAAACATCTAGATATCCAATAGTTTGAAAAATGTTGGATTTTTCCACGTTTTAACTTTCCTAGGAAAATCAAATTGTGAATTTTTAATTTTTGTTTGAACCTTGCTCTAGGTTTGAATTTCTAGTTCCACAACCTAGAGTACGTGGAAACCAAAGAGTTTGGAGTTCAATTTTCCTCATCTAGAAATTGAAATCTAGAGAAATCCCAAATCCCAGTAAAAAATTCCAATATTTCCAACTACTGAATGAAATTTGGATCTTGGGGTCTCAACTGTGTAGAAGTATACCGCCAGCTTAATGTCAATTCTAAAAATGTAGTAGTCGCTCCATCACAAAAGATCGCAACTACAGAGTTTGTGTCAATCAAACTAGTTTAAGTTTGACCAAATTTATAACGAATAGTATTAACAATTGTGTCTTCAATAAAGTTTACTGTGAAAATATATTCGATAATTAATTAATAGTAGTTATTTTGTATCATGAATATTAATATTTTTATATAATTTCAATCAAAGTTTAAACTGTTTGACTTCTCGGAAAATAAGAATTACATTTTTTTGGACGGAGGAAATACTTAATGTAATATAATATATTAGGATTTTGTAATTCTGGAAGTAAATATGCATGCATATATAAATGCTGGTTGGCGGTATGATAAAGAGAACCCTAAGATAAATAGCGAGTTTTTTATTTTTTGAGGGAAAGATAAATACTGAGTTGGCATTGGGTGAGGAAGACAAGCAGTGAGTTGACGCTAGGTGACGTGACGAAGCAGTAATGCTGGTTGGTACATGGAATGACGCTAGTGTGGAAGCCACGGCTCACTTTGCATCCATACAGTGGACCGGCCGGACGAGGGGCTCCCATGCCCATTCGTGCGCTCTCTGGCCGTCTCTGCTTGGCGGCGAAGCCAGAGGCAGCATGAGTGTGGAGTGGCCTAGCTCGGCAGTTCAGCAAGCCTGTGAATCGTACTGCATGCACTGCTGTAGCAATGGGACATTTGGTTCCCACACACAGGGAGTTGCGCTTGCGCCAAATCTCTGCCATGCCGGCCGTGGAGGTAATCATGGGCGGCCGGCGATCGTGTGTTTGATCATGAGAGCTGGTTTTCTTGGCTTGTTTCTCACTTGCACGGAGATGGGTGATCATTGCATAACCGATAAGTCGATAACGATATATAGGTGGGGTATAACACTTGGCACATGACAGTTACTTCCCCGCAACTAAGAGCGATTAAGAGTAGTTATAAATTAATTCGCCGAGTGTGTGTACCTTGGAGTATAATTAGTAGTAGTACATTGTTGACAGCCATTTTAGGCTGATGATAAGGTTAGGCCGGGTTTCGAATGTTGGCTGGACCGGGTTGCCCTGTTTTCTGACCAAAAGCAGGAAAACTAGCTTGGCTATGTTTCTCCAGTCCAAATTTAAAAACTAGAAAACACGTGGATTTCGATGTAGACCCGTCTGTTGTGTAGCCTATTTTGTGCACACACATGTTAATGTTATGAGTTTAAGAAAGGTGGAAGTTAAGACACATCCACACGCGCGGGGCAACATGAATGGGTTCAGATGGCTAAGCCACATGTTAGGGCCTATTTAACACAGCTCACAACAGCTTTATAAGCTGTTTATTTTGCCAAACACTTATTTTCAAAATAGCTTTTTAGGTGAAGCTGTTTTTCTTCTCCTCTCACAAAGATATTACTTGAGATGAAGCTAAAAAAAAGTAGCTTATCCCAGCTTCATCTCCCATATTATAGTCATTCTATTCATTGTTCTATCATGTGAAGCTGTTTTACCAAACACTTGTTCCAAATAACTCAGCTTCAACAAAAAAAAAAAGTTGCCCATGAAGCGATTTTGTAAAAAAAACAGCTTATATGGTGAAACTGATCTGTGCCAAATGGGATCTTAATGATACGAGTGTTGGGGCGTCATTAATTATTTTGTAGCTTTGAACGTAGTACGAAGAATAAGAGTAAGAAATCGTGGAGGAGGGAGGAGGGACTGATGGGAACAGAGAGTGAAAGGCATAAGGAAAAAATTTTAATATTATGTATAGAATAATTTTAATATTAGATATAGAATAATTATAATCATTCACCCACGTGGATAAGGAAAAATGATCGCACGATATGTGGAAGAAGCCAGGATTCCACCTGATTTCGGCTGAACCGAGGGAACCTTCGTTGGGGCAAGCTAGCACACTGCACATTGCTTTGCATGGCCCAAATGTGTTGCTTCGCGTCCAGCCCTCCCGGAGCAGCTGCAGTAGCGGCCCAGTACGTGAGTTCAGGCCCATTCGCGTCTCATGGCGCGTGTGGGCCACCACCGGCTGCAAAATCAGCTTCGATCAGTTTTCAGGTTTTGCGGAACAGGAGATTTTTATGCCAAAGGTAAGGAAAATGGTAAGTAGTTTTCACTTTTGAGGACATCACGTTTCTGATGGTTTTGTTTTAGATGTTTACATCACTACTTCATAAGTTCTAGCTGTCAGCGCTGTATATGAAAGGTCTAATATGTTGCTTCCAGGATCATCTACTTCCATTTATTCTGTTTCATTTAAGTTGATTAGCATTTTCAGAGGAAATGCTAACTAGCTTCCTACCTAGCAAGCGCTAAGGCCTTTTTACTGGCCCAAAAATGATCTAGTAGTATATATATAAGAGCAACTCCAACAATAGCCCTCAAAACAAGGCCCCTACTTTTCATTGGGTTGCCCCTACTTTTGAGAGCTCTGTTTTCTGGACTAAACTCCAGCAGCTCCAAAACAGGGCCCTACTTCTCAATTGCTTCTATTTTCTCATGCACTATATGCATATGTATTTGAGAACATCACACTATATAATAATTTATTTAAACTGCAACTCTAAAGCACCATACTTAAAAATATGATTGAAAATACAAATATTCAAATTTAAATTCAAACATAAATTTGGTCCAAATTTGACGACATTCAATCACAAATCAAAAGACACATAGTAATAGTTCACGACATCATTATCAAATGAAAAGGCACATAGTCCTAAACCAAAACATAACAATGAATATCAAATTTCTCCTCCGCCACTAGCTTCATGTCCTCCATTGCTACCACCGAAAGCGTTGTTAAACGCCGCCATCTTTTCAGCTGCATTCTGAGCCCTCATTGCTATCACATATGTCTTTTGGGAGGGGTCCAATGTGTCGAGGTCACAAAACATAACCTTTTGTTCTTGCTCTCATAGGGTCTTCTTCTCCTCATTTGCAATCTTGCACTCTTCAAGTGATAATTTGCGCTCATGCAGCACCTTGCTCTCTTGCCACCTATCCTGTCGCATAGATTCTTTCTCTTTAAGAAATTTCTCTATCAAGTTATAATTTGTTGGTTCTCCTCCTTTCTTCAGCTTCTCCTTTGCTTGCTTCCTCCCCATAGGCCTTTTACTGCTAGGCATGGAGGAGTCAGGGGTTTGAGCTTCAACCAATAATGGAGGAAAGGAAACCCCTTCTTCTTTGGATCTTTTTCTATATATGCTGTTTGAGCTTTTAGCTATGGATGAAAACGGATCGGATACGAACGGATATCACTGATATTACATTTGTTTTCATATTTCTGTCCGAATTCGAATTCGAATACGGATATTGTCAACCTTGACGAATAGGATATGATTGGATATCGACATCATAAATATACGATTTGATTATTCGGATACGGATACGGTATCGGATGTTGAATATCCGGACTTAGATACGAACAGATCCGAACTCCACTAAACGGATTCGGTCTCAAATACGGTCGAAAAATATCCGTACCATTTTCACCCCTACTTCTAGCAACTGAAATGGAACACATGTGTTAGAAAAAAAAATATTAAATAAATGATGCAACATCTTAATAAAAACAATTCTTCCATGGTCCTGGTAGGGCACACAACTAGGATGGCGGCGCTCAACCTCCTCAAATAAGCCTTGAAACTTCTTACATTCCTTGTGAATTATCCCCCACCTATGCTCCAAAGAATTTGCATTCCTATCAGATACAATTTTTTTGTTGGCATGAAAGTTTTCATGAATTCGCTTCCAATACGCTTTGCTAGGTGCTCATTTCCAGTGATAGGATCCAAGCTTATGTTCTCCCATGATTCACATAATTGGAGATCTTCCTCTGGAGTGTAGTTGGCAGCACGGATTGGCATCCTCTTTACAGCATTAGGTTGACTAGGCTGGGTACCAATGGGTAAAATTGCAATGTCATCAACGTCAACATCGTCAGACATCATCCGTGACCAATTACCTCCCTGCGACATATTCCAAACTGTGCAAAAAAAAAAGCACATATACGTATCAATTTGAATCACATATACAGTACAGTACAGTTTACGTTTATGCATCATATTATCCCAAAGGCTGGGTCTGAACTAGTCACATATGCTACAAGGATCTTCAGAAACTTCAGAAGACACCCGGAAGACTACTACTAAATTATATGTACTGCTACTACTGCTACAACATGATATTTCTGAAGTTAACACATGCTATTCCATTTATGCGGATGATCAAACCAATAGAAAAGTAATACTGCTCCTACTTGTCAGCGAATGTACCCAAAAATAAAGTAAGAAAAGATGGAGCATGCCTGTTACCTTGGAGAGGATGGAGCAGGGTCACGTCCGCTGGTGGTGTTGCTCCTGCTGAGCGCACGGACGGGGATGGCGGGGCCGCTCGTGAGATGCAGAGACGCAGCGCCGGTCGAGACCTTGCAGAGATGCAGCGCCGGTCCCTTCCCGTAGATCCAGAGTGCGCGGCAGATGGGGTAGGGGCCTGCCCGCGAGCACAGCTGCAGGGGAGGGGAGGGAGCCGGCCAGGAGCGGAAGCAGCCGGGGAGAGGAAAGAGCCTGGCTGCGCCGGTCAGTTCTAGCGGATCCGGCGACGCCGTCTTCCTTCCTGCTCGCGGGATGACGGGAAGGGGGCTGCGCATGAGCTAGATGCAGGGGAGAGGAAGCTCCGCGCGCGAGGTGGAGGAAGATGCGGGCGCCATGTCGACGGGGAGGAAGCAGCGCGAGTGGGAAAAGGAAGCGGCAGCGCGTGCGGCGTTCGGTCGCGAGCGGGAAGAAAGCCCGCGCGATGGAAACCAGCGCCAACTGTGATTTGAGGGCTGGGCTAGAGCCACTAGGACTGAGGGCCAGAGGAAAGATTCGAGGGCTCCCTTAAATTTGAGGACTCTAGATTTGAGGGACATGACAGGGACTCTGCTGGAGCAAGTTTTTTTTTTTGACTTCGGCCCTCAAATTTTAACTTCGGCCCTCAAATACAGGAGGAGGTGTTAAGTAAGGTGTTTGCTGGAGTTGCTCTAAGAGGCGCGTGAACAATATTTTAAGAGTTGGAGCCACAACTCATAAGCCACGTCTATTCGAAGGTCTATGTAAATCACAATCTACAGAGGCGAGTGACAAACCAGCTGTGCAAATGGTGTTTTCAAAGAGGTCGGTACAAAATGGTTGCTGAAGTGGGACTCAAAATGGTTGTTGTGGCAGAACCGCCCGAAATAACACGTTTTCAGAGGCGCTCGTCTTCCACTAGATACTAAGCACCTCGAAAGGGAGCTATATCGGACAGTTCCGTCCAGCACACCCCATGGGAGAACCCAAAAATCCATATTTTTTAATAGGATCATAAATAGGAGAATAAAGCTTACAACATTGTAGCCATTTCTTACATCACTTTCCATGCAACATCAGAGTATAATATTAATTGTTTATAACAACGAAATATAATCATGTTATAAGAGTTTCAATAGAAATAAAATCATTTACGGACACGTTAAACATTAAAATGATGGTCCGTTATATACATCGTAACAAGTTATAAGTTTTTCCATTTGTAAAATGTTTTGGGTGGAAATTTCAAATAAACTCTATGTCCGCAACGTAAAGAAAATACTCTCTGAGCCCGCTAGGAGGTTTCCACACACAAGTGTCAGCTTCACATGTTCCTGCCACCTGCAACAGAGTAGAACAAACCTTGAGTACTCAATTGTACTCCGCAAGACTTACCCGTCAGGAAAAAGAAAAAAGACTCCAAGGATATGCAAGGCTATCTGACTTGTGGGTTTATTGCATCTGTAGGGGCATTACTAAACATGCGTCCTATATATTCAATTTTATTAGCAGTCATCATTAGTTTATTAACTACCATTCTATGTAAGCACATGTGCTACTTTCAAGCAGGTGGTAAACAATCATAACCATTTTTCTATCTTTCATATTTCATTTCTTACTACGGTGCTAGATTGTAGACAAGTCGTACCGGATTACCCGGCGATTCGCGAATCAATGTGCCCAGCTGGGTACCCCAAAACACACGTACCGCTTGTACCCCAGGCATAAGCAGGACCAACCCACCACTCTCCTGTCAAGTGGTCCAGGTCCCCGTCCAAACTTACACTCTAAGCCCCCACACCTGAGTTCCGGACTCAGTGTGGTGCTTAGACCTCCACCATCTCCGCCTCCAATCAGTCGGTCCGGAAAGAACCGAGAATCCACGACAAGAGAGGAACGAGCCTTCCCTACTCCCATAAAGAAGTTTGTGCTCAGGATAATAAGTCTGTGACTTGACTAAAACTCAATGCAACGGCCGGTCCTTAATCGACACGGATGGAACAAGTGCAATCCGAGCCTCGCTCGAATGCCAAACCAAGTTCAAATCCAAAGTACTATTTCGCCTGGTCTCCAATTATCATTCATATATATATATATATATATATTCCATGTGATAGTAATATAATAACAACAATAATATATTTCCTATCTCTCGCGAGTGACAGGCAATCACTCAACTTCTACCGGAGTCATGTAGCATAGCAATTTACATGATCCTGTCATACTAGTAAGACTCATAGGATAAGGATATATATATATATATATGCAAGTGGGTTTTCATTCAACTCCTTAAAACTTAATGCACAAGTATAAAATAAAGTACAAAATAATAGGGGTTATGCATCGGGGCTTGTCTGGGTAAGATATAACCAAATATTAGCATTCCATCATGGTGACACGATCAATAAGGCACCATCTTTTCTGCTACTCTGGTCGACTCCAGATCCATCGTTGTCCCTATTATGACATTCGGGGATACACGCGGAAAACATAATTAATCAACGACAACCGCAATGCTTAAAATACGATTACACCGCTAGGCTATCGGGCTAGCTCTAACGACTTCCACGTATCCACGTTGTCGAACAAGACGCTAATTTCCTACAATGTTTTAGTTATAAATTTCCTAGGTGTTTCTTTATTTCCTTTTATTTACTATATGTATAAACTAAGGCTCATTAGTTACCTCAGCAAACTAATTGTTCAGAAGCTACAAAAATTACAACGAGCACCTAATAATGTTAGGAATCTACTATAAAAATTTCAGATCCAACACTGCTACCCATTCATCACAACAATTCCTATAAGTTTATGTTTTAACAATATTAAGCATCTCAAATTAATTAGATTACTCTTGAAAATTCTTTGAAACTATGTGAATAAAATATACTAGAAGATAGATCATGATTTTAGGAACCTAACAAAATAAGTTTCACAATTTTTGAATCTCTACACAAATTTATATTGAATTTACAAATTTACTCTAGAGACTAAATTGAAAAAGGCTTAGAAAACGAAAAAGGTCGGTGGCGACCTAATCGGCCCAGCAGCCTAGCGCGGGGGCGGCCACGCGCGCGTCACGATGGCCCAGCGTGGCCCCAGACCGGTGAAAGGAGGACCATGACGCCTAAGAGGGGGGTTGAATTAGACAACTTAAAAGTCTAACTTTAAACTACGGCCTCTTGTTCTAACCTTAGCAAAACCTATGCAAAAGGATAAACTATCTAAATATGCAACTACGATTTTGCAAGTGTGTTGCTATCTCTACCACAAAAGGATTTATGCAAACAATATAAATGTGGAAGCTAAAGAGTAAGGTAGAGATATGCAAACTCCTGTCGACGGCTTTGGTATTTTTACCGAGGTATCGAGAAGCACGCAAGCTTCCCCCTAGTCCTCATTGGAGCCCCTCGCAAGGAATCCCTTGCAAGGGCCAACCTCTCGATCGGATAACTCCGTGGATAGCCCCGGGCCTTCCCCACGCGTAAGTGGGTCTCTGGTGTGCCTTCCGGCAAGCCTTGTAATACCCCGGCTCAGGGCTTAATAGGATTAATAGGATACTCGTACCAACAAGTTGCAACTTCTTTTCTGGAAGCCCATCTCTTAAGAACTCCAAGGTTAAGCGTGCTTGGCCTGGAGCGATGGGTGACCGACCGGGAAGTTCTTCCTGGAGGCGCATGAGTGAGCACAAAGTGCGCAGAAAAGACTGGTGTTGGTCTGTGAGGGCAGTCTATGTCCTAGGAAAGCTATCAGATGTAAGCGGGCCTGGCCTCGAGGAGGCGGGACGTTACAAGCCTCTCCCGGACCGCTCCCCGTTGTCTTCACTATCAAGCTTCTGGCCGAAACGTCACGGGCCTTGTTCCCTTCGGTACACGGTGGCGGCCACACCACAAACGCGGTTGGTGTGATCTCGCAAGACTACAAAGCCCCTTCGACGTACAACAATAGTGCGCGCAAGCATCGAGTGATAAGAGGTATGCAAACCTCACTAAACACAAGGCCTAAACCTAGAGCAAGCGCATAGGCGGTGGTCTAATCAATCTAAGCACTTCGTAAAGCACCTACGCTAATCGCCTAATGAATCATTAAGCACTATGCAAGTGGAGATCACTAAAATGGTGTATTAACACCCTTGGTATGTTCCTCAGCTCAACTCTCCTTAAATGACCAGTTGGGGTGTCTATTTATAAGCCCCAATGAAGAAAGTAGCCGTTGGGGATGAAACCCACCTTTCTGCTACTGACCGGAAGCTACTTTCGTCCTGACCGGACGCGTCCGGTCGTCACAACCGTTGGAGCATGCGCGTTGATCGGACGCACTGCCGAGTCTGGTCACTGTTGATCAGACGCGTCCAATCGCGCTGTCGTTGCTCTGGAACCTCTCTGGACTCGATCGGACACTGTAGTTTCTGTGTCCGATCGATTATCCGCCAGCGTCCAGTTAGTGCTGAGCTATTGTCGCGATAGTGAATAGTGTCATCGTCGCGTCTTGTCACTTTTAGTCCTTAGCATCCGGTCACTGCTGCTGACGCTTGCTGTTGCCGAGCATCTTGATCGGATGTGTCCGGTCGCTATAAGGGCGCCTTCGGTCACCTCTGTGAAGCTCGTTTCTTCATGATCTTGTGTCCGGCTTGGTTCCTATCTTCGTGC